GTATCGTCAAATTTGCCATAAATTCTCATCAAAATGACGAATGGAAATCACGAACGGAAAATGATCATAGCTTTACTAGATTAAGACAAATACAAAACAATCTAGAACCAAACCCACTATGGCTGTACTCAAGAAAGATTCCCGGTCTTCTTAAATATGCAACTGTCATAGCAAAGTTTCTAACTATTCCACTTGACCCAAATGAACCTGAGCTTTGTGAATATTGTGGAGCACTAGAGGGAGACATTATCTCACACAGAGCAGCAATGTGCACGGAAACTGCTCCAGAACGAAACAATATGCTGAATAGAATCACTGTGGCTATAGGTCAGTCTGAAGCTGGGATTTTTCTCAGAGAATTCCTTAAAGCCCCTCTTCCAGTGTCAGTGAAAGGCCTTTCTTGTTTTAGCGACTGTGTTAATTTGAAAACGATAAACATAGTGTTGCCTTACTTTAGCAATATAATTAAAAACTCTAATGTAGAATTAAACACACCGTTCCAATAAGCTATAACCGTTGAGTTATGACGTGCAATTAAAACCCCAGAGGTGCAATTTTATACTTGCTTTTAACTTTGTTAACTTTTATAATTATTTGTTTTGTTATATTTTGTTCTTTGTTTATTACGTGTATAAATGTTGTATATGTTTTGGTTATTGTTGTATTGTTTGATTGATTTATGTTTACATGTTTAATCCATTTTATTATGGGAATAAAAGCGACATAATAATAATACCTTGCATTTGGTGTTCATGAACAACCCATTTGGCTTATCAGTAATGATTATGTGATTTGTTTTTATGTGTCTGTTCCTCATGAATGGTATATCGGATGGCTGCTAGATGTTAATAAGATACTTTCAAAAATATACCAAACAATACAATTAGACAAACAAGTATCTTAAGTATCTTATGCATTTCAAGGGGATAGGTATAGTACTGTAGAGTGATAAACATGATTGACTTATAACATTGTTTTGTGAATGCTCAGTGACACACCGATTAGTCCATGAGTTATTGGGGAGGCGATGGGAGTGGATTATTTAACTTTGCTGTTAATATCGATGGCTGGGATGATGGGGGACTGTTCCCTTTTGATTCGTGGTATTTTTTGATAGTTTTGTTCCTCAACACATTTACCTTTTTATTTGCTACTGACATATTTTGCAATGGTCTTACGATTACCAGTAATATCTGGCCATAATAGCAAGATTGAGGTATGAATTATTATTTTGCTACATAATTTAATGTGTTATTCTCTCATCTCGGGATTATATTTTTATATCCCAAGACGAAGTAACTACATGTGCTAAGCTTCGACTAAATCGAATAAATAGAACATCAAATAAAACAATAAAGATACAATTAATTGAGCCATTTCAATATGACTGTTGATGAAGATCACAATAAAGATGTGCAATATTTCTTTTAAAAAAGATCAATATTTATTTGAAATTACTTTCATGACCTATTTATTATACCCACCCTATCAAGGATGACATTTTCCTACTCCTAGGTCCATACTCTAAAGCATATAGATACTCTTCTACGTCTATACTGGGTATAGGAGAAAGCAGTTGTGTACGATCGGTTTGGAAATGGGGTTTATCCCTAAGGAAATATGCAGATCTTCCTTCGGTTGCTACGGTCTCCCAGGTAGATATGCATATCTTCTTCCAAAACTTCTTAGTATTAGTCGTTTTCCAAATAAACCAAAAAATATCTGCCATTTAAGTTTAAAACGAAATGGCACATTTTAGAGTGTGATACCCTGGTGTCATTTTCAATAGATTTTACTCATAGCGTCATTGGACTTCAAACAGAATTGAAAGTTAAAGTTAAAAATATGGAACAAAAGAAACACATTTTTGATTTGTTTGACATAAATATATTCTACAGTTACTCTTCATTTATGATTAATACACAATATCCTTTTAGTGCTTATAATAGAATTTAATAAAAATGAAAATTTTGCAAATTACACTTTGATAGCAATATATATTCCTACAGAACATAACATTAATATAATGCATGATTATCAAGCAAAACATTGCAACAGACCTTTAGAATGGCTTAATCTCAGTGATCTCCCTTGATCTCTCTTGATCTCCATTGATCTTGAAGCAATCTGGTGCTGCTAACGGTTATATTTATCTCAGTCTTTTTGCACCAGGTGAAAAATTGAATGAAAAAATTGAAATATGTTGACAGGATTTGGAGATTTGCTGGTATTAAAAAATGAGTAAGAATGAGTCCTGTCTGGCTGGACGTACCTGGTATTCATAGATGATCTACTCATTGAACTCCAACAAACACACCAAACTGCATCTATAGGGACGTTAGAAACGGGATGCCCGACACTGGCTGATGATTTAACCATTATTGCGACAACTAAGTCCAACCTACAATATCTCATTGATGTTGCTATTAATTATTCCAATAAGTGGAGATATCAATACAACCTACAGAAGAGTGTAGTTATGACAATCGGCGAATCACCACGATTGCATCCTCAATGTAAGTTACAAAGAAGATGGGGAACAACCAATGGACAGGAACTTCAGGAAGTTGATGAAATTAAGCATTTAGGTAATATGTATAGCCATTCTCTTTCATCAGATGTCAAAATTAATGCAGCGTGTCAGTCTTTAAGAGGCACTTTTGCATCACTCGTAGGAGCAGGGACGCACCCCCGAGGGCTGAACCCACTCACAGGCCTTAAACTCTTAAAATGTATTTGTATTCCTGCAGCTTTGTATGGGTCAGAACTATGGACCAATATCACGAACGCACAGGCGTTACGACTCGAGAAGGCAGAACGATTTATTACAAAAGCTTTACAGGACCAAGTCAAATGGACTCGAACTGATATTTCCCTTGGAATGCTTGGTATTAATACGATGGAATCTATGGTTGAGATGAGGAAATTACAATTTCTAGGACGATTGGTTCATCTAGATAACGCTAAATTGTCGAAACAGATTTTCTTAATGAGACTCCATCATAATGAGACCTCAAATTCACAACGTGGTTTTATTCCAGAAATACAAAGGATATTAGCTAAATATGAAATCGAGTCATTAAATCAATACATTGATACAGGGTATTTCCCTCCAAAACACATATGGAAACGTATCGTCAAATTTGCCATAAATTCTCATCAAAATGACGAATGGAAATCACGAACGGAAAATGATCATAGCTTTACTAGATTAAGACAAATACAAAACAATCTAGAACCAAACCCACTATGGCTGTACTCAAGAAAGATTCCCGGTCTTCTTAAATATGCAACTGTCATAGCAAAGTTTCTAACTATTCCACTTGACCCAAATGAACCTGAGCTTTGTGAATATTGTGGAGCACTAGAGGGAGACATTATCTCACACAGAGCAGCAATGTGCACGGAAACTGCTCCAGAACGAAACAATATGCTGAATAGAATCACTGTGGCTATAGGTCAGTCTGAAGCTGGGATTTTTCTCAGAGAATTCCTTAAAGCCCCTCTTCCAGTGTCAGTGAAAGGCCTTTCTTGTTTTAGCGACTGTGTTAATTTGAAAACGATAAACATAGTGTTGCCTTACTTTAGCAATATAATTAAAAACTCTAATGTAGAATTAAACACACCGTTCCAATAAGCTATAACCGTTGAGTTATGACGTGCAATTAAAACCCCAGAGGTGCAATTTTATACTTGCTTTTAACTTTGTTAACTTTTATAATTATTTGTTTTGTTATATTTTGTTCTTTGTTTATTACGTGTATAAATGTTGTATATGTTTTGGTTATTGTTGTATTGTTTGATTGATTTATGTTTACATGTTTAATCCATTTTATTATGGGAATAAAAGCGACATAATAATAATACCTTGCATTTGGTGTTCATGAACAACCCATTTGGCTTATCAGTAATGATTATGTGATTTGTTTTTATGTGTCTGTTCCTCATGAATGGTATATCGGATGGCTGCTAGATGTTAATAAGATACTTTCAAAAATATACCAAACAATACAATTAGACAAACAAGTATCTTAAGTATCTTATGCATTTCAAGGGGATAGGTATAGTACTGTAGAGTGATAAACATGATTGACTTATAACATTGTTTTGTGAATGCTCAGTGACACACCGATTAGTCCATGAGTTATTGGGGAGGCGATGGGAGTGGATTATTTAACTTTGCTGTTAATATCGATGGCTGGGATGATGGGGGACTGTTCCCTTTTGATTCGTGGTATTTTTTGATAGTTTTGTTCCTCAACACATTTACCTTTTTATTTGCTACTGACATATTTTGCAATGGTCTTACGATTACCAGTAATATCTGGCCATAATAGCAAGATTGAGGTATGAATTATTATTTTGCTACATAATTTAATGTGTTATTCTCTCATCTCGGGATTATATTTTTATATCCCAAGACGAAGTAACTACATGTGCTAAGCTTCGACTAAATCGAATAAATAGAACATCAAATAAAACAATAAAGATACAATTAATTGAGCCATTTCAATATGACTGTTGATGAAGATCACAATAAAGATGTGCAATATTTCTTTTAAAAAAGATCAATATTTATTTGAAATTACTTTCATGACCTATTTATTATACCCACCCTATCAAGGATGACATTTTCCTACTCCTAGGTCCATACTCTAAAGCATATAGATACTCTTCTACGTCTATACTGGGTATAGGAGAAAGCAGTTGTGTACGATCGGTTTGGAAATGGGGTTTATCCCTAAGGAAATATGCAGATCTTCCTTCGGTTGCTACGGTCTCCCAGGTAGATATGCATATCTTCTTCCAAAACTTCTTAGTATTAGTCGTTTTCCAAATAAACCAAAAAATATCTGCCATTTAAGTTTAAAACGAAATGGCACATTTTAGAGTGTGATACCCTGGTGTCATTTTCAATAGATTTTACTCATAGCGTCATTGGACTTCAAACAGAATTGAAAGTTAAAGTTAAAAATATGGAACAAAAGAAACACATTTTTGATTTGTTTGACATAAATATATTCTACAGTTACTCTTCATTTATGATTAATACACAATATCCTTTTAGTGCTTATAATAGAATTTAATAAAAATGAAAATTTTGCAAATTACACTTTGATAGCAATATATATTCCTACAGAACATAACATTAATATAATGCATGATTATCAAGCAAAACATTGCAACAGACCTTTAGAATGGCTTAATCTCAGTGATCTCCCTTGATCTCTCTTGATCTCTCTTGATCTCCATTGATCTTGAAGCAATCTGGTGCTGCTAACGGTTATATTTATCTCAGTCTTTTTGCACCAGGTGAAAAATTGAATGAAAAAATTGAAATATGTTGACAGGATTTGGAGATTTGCTAGTATTAAAAAATGAGTAAGAATTTTGTACTCACAAGAGAAAAAATGGGAGAACACTGGAATTGATGAAAGGGTTAATTGAATACATTGTCAGTAGAGGAGTTGTCCTTTCTTTAGGGCCTTGGTTTGTACTATCATTATTGAATGGGTCAAATATTTTACTCCATTAGTTATATAGTCCATTTATTCAGACAAGCCAGTCTATTCATATCATCATGTTTTGGGTTGTTACATAATAAATGTATAATTAACAAATCTGTGATTTCTTATAATCTCTGCTGTTGTTGTAACAGTCTATCTATTGCAGCATTCACGTCACCAAATGTGGCAATAAGCGCTGGAAAACACAAGAAACCAAATGGTACAGTAAAGAGGACTGAAAGATTTACAAGGCATAGACATGCAAAATGTCACCACCTGCCATTTGTTACAGACGCCGAACACTGAACACCAACCTCCAGAAATCAACCTTCAACAACAACCACTGATCACAAAATAGGCCTATGTCACCACCAATTAAAATTGTTTAATTAAATAAAGTAATCAAATGTCTGCCAGGAAACTTATGTAATGACAATGGCATCAGATATCTCTTTACGGTAAAAAGGCCAAACTCCACCCACATTTGTGCCTTCGAAATATAGTCAAATATTTAAAGTGATCTGACCAAACTATTCAAAGACATCTTGACAATTAATTATTTATCCTATAATTTCATGAATTAATATTGTCATATAAGTAGGAATATCATTTCTCTAATTAAACAAGCATAGTTACCTTGTATATTGGCCTCTCTGTTTACAAATCCCATATTTTGTAATTGTTCTAATTCTGAAGAAAATCTCTGCTCTGGAGGCTGGGTCTGGAAAAATATTGATTCATACTCTTGGGATATTACATAGTATACAGGTTTATTAAATTCATCAAAACAATGTTACCTTTTTACCATTTTGATCCTAATTTCACTTATTTTAGACATCTTAAATTCATGACAAGCGTGTTGTGAACAGATAACATAAACTATATACTAGATATAATATATCACAAGACCAACATTTAAACCTGTTTTTAGACTGGGAAAATGTATTACAAACATCCTTAAATCATGTTAACAGAATTAATATTCATAAGTTGCCTTTTTTACTCAAAGATATCACAGAACTAAATTGTAGAAACATCTTACTGTATTTAAATGTTGTCCACGGCCCATCATATTTATCATTTGTGCCATAAAGTTGCCCATGGGGTCAGTGTTTGTTCCACCAGCAGGAGTTGTCCCCGTTGTCCCTTGGGTGCTAGGGGTCCCAGATGACAAAGTTGTACCCGTAGTGGTAGTGGTTGTGGTGTCTGTGCTTGGAGTTGTGTCTGTGCCTGTAGTGGCTGTTGTGTCTGTACTTGCTGTACTAGGTGTACCTGGAAGCATCCATAGGATTCACATGTATTAAATACACAAGGGTTCATTAGCAACAGGCAATTTCCTGAAGATGTTTTACCAAAATCAGCTAAAGTTTTTCAACCATTTCCATGTTAAAATTACACTAATTTCCAATAATTTTGCATGTTGTTATCAGCTATCAATTCATTTTTATCATACATTCTCTAAATGCAGTAAGAATAACTTTTGGGCTATCCTGAAACTATTGGACGACCATGTAATTTTTGGGCCACCCTGTAACTTTTGGGTCACTCTGTATATTGTGCAAATGTGTACCTGGAGTGCTGCTAGTGGTGGTTGCTGTTGATGTTGTAGGGTTGGTAGGCATGGATGCTGGAGGCATGGACATTCCAGGTAGGCCCATTCTGCAAACAAATGGAAAACGGAATAGTGACACAATCACACTAGCATTAGCGGTGCCACTAGAATCTAACCTTAGCACTATAAATAGCAAGGCTATGATATAATCAGGAATAATATTTATATTATCTTCAATATATCGTCCAAGTAGCACTTAGCTGGTTGAACTTGCTATCATTGCCAGTCACTGCACTTGTAGCAGAGGGAAGGGTATAAGCACATTTTCATCATGTGAAAATGTCTGATTTATCTTACCCACTAGACAATCCTGGTGCTTCACTCTGTAATTGTTGCATGCCTTGTTGGATCTGCATTATAGCTTGCAAGGCTCGGGGGTTTGTCATCAAATTCTGAACCTCAGGGTTCTGCATCTATACACAAAACATGGTGTTTAAAACACAGCTACATTAAAACTACTCAACGTCAAGCTTAACACACAACTGTTTTGCCTAGTAAAGCATTCATCGTTTTAATAAAGACCAAGATCCTGTATAAAAGGAGAGAGGAAAGCCAAATGAGTCTGTTTGATGTATTTCTATCAATAGAAACTAGTAAAATTTAATTCATATTTTGATTAAGAGACATATTCTTAACTACATCTATAACTGGCCAAGGGATTGTTTACTCTGTTCAATGCTCCATTGAATTACTGATTCAGATTTCTTACAACATAAAATTATTTCATTACCTGTTGCAAAAACACTGGCATTTGATTCCTAACATAGTCTTGCAACTGGGGATTACCAGCAAACATTGGGTTCTGACTCAAAATCTGCAAAGAAATCATAAGATCATGTAACCATAACAATCATATATTTAGCAGCGTTCCATGAGAAAGTTTTAAATATTACATTCCATTTATTGAAAGTAAATTCTGAAAAAACTTACAAAATACATAGAATGATGAAAATGCACTCTTGTTATTCAGTCCTATAAGTTTACTTTACACACCTGTTGTGCCATTTCTGGGTTTGCTGAGAGGGACTGCATCATAGCCTGCATGTAGGGGGCCTGCATCATGTTGCTCATCAATTGAGGATTACTTGACATCTGGGACATGAGACTCTGGATACCAGGGCTGTTCATAGGACCTGTACAGAGAATACATATTATAAAGCACAGGATCTGGGACATGAGACTGGATACAAGGGCTGTTCATAGGACCTGTACAGAGAATACATATTATAAAGCAGGGGATCTGGGACATGAGACTCTGGATACCAGGGCTGTTCATAGGACCTGTACAGAGAATACATATTATAAAGCAGGGGATCTTGGACATGAGACTGAATACCAGGGCTGTTCATAGGACCTGTACAGAGAATACATATTATAAAGCAGGGGATCTTGGACATGAGACTCTGAATACCAGGGCTGTTCATAGGACCTGTACAGAGAATACATATTATAAAGCAGGGGATCTTGGACATGAGACTGAATACCAGGGCTGTTCATAGGACCTGTACAGAGAATACATATTATAAAGCAGGGGATCTTGGACATGAGACTCTGAATACCAGGGCTGTTCATAGGACCTGTACAGAGAATACATATTATAAAGCAGGGGATCTTGGACATGAGACTCTGAATACCAGGGCTGTTCATAGGACCTGTACAGAGAATACATATTATAAAGCAGGGGATCTTGGACATGAGACTGAATACCAGGGCTGTTCATAGGACCTGTATAGAGCATACACATTGATCTCCGCAGGATTTTTTCTCAGGTTGGTGCAAAATTCTCAAGTTCACAATTTAGACCAAACTTGGTCAAAATATGCCCATTTTCATGATTTTTTCTCATTTTCAAGTGGGTGCAAATAGATTTTCAGGTGGGTGCAAGCCTATTTTCAAAATCTCAGGTGGGTGCTGCACCCACTTGCTTTAATGCTGGGGAGATCACGGATACATATTATAAGGCAGGACATGTTTCAAACCTAGAGGTCAAAATTCAAGTATCAACGAGAGTTGGCAGTGCCATAATATTTTCAAATACCTGTACATAGAAAACATATTATTACATGGGGTGAGCAGAGTCCTAGTCAGGAGTCATAATTTCATGAACACTTTAGGATCCCCATTGAGTTGATGATATCGTCATGTTAACTAATACATAAGCAAACTTATGCTTGGTACCCATGTTGCTTTAAGAAATTCAAACTTAATGGTCAAATTTTTAATTATGGACGAGAATTGGCACTTGTCACACTTTTCCCATTCTTGTTCTTGCCTACCTTGTTGACAAATGCTCTGGGCATCTACACAATGTCTTGCCAATAGTGGCAACATTTTTGATACACATTGAAAGAAGAAGCCTCAATTTGTATTATCTTCTTAAACTGCAACTTCCCTCAGATACTCAGATGCAAAGCTACACAAAATACACATGGGCCCCTTTACCAGCGATCAGACGACATCGTACCAGCGATCGGACGACTCTGATCGCTGGTAAAGGGACCCATGTGTATTTTGTTTATGAGGTTTGTCTTACCAAATGGTCCCCCAAGGCCGGGTCCCCCAGAAGAGGTGGAAGTGTTAGTGGTAGAGCTGCTCCCTGTAGAAGTGGTAGAGGTGGCAGAACGGGGTGCCCAGGGGTTAGGCAAGGGTGCTGTGTTCTCTGTACCTTGCTGATTGCTACTTGCGTTTCCCCCTGAAAAAACATGGAAATGAATTCACAATGCTGTTTTAATGTAATGACAATTACACTCAAATAATTTGTTTTTTTAAAGTAGAAGAATTCCAGCACTGAGAAAGTTTTAAATAAGATGGTTCCAGTAATTAAGCATTTTGGCTAAAATAATAATTATAATTCCATCCATCATATCTATGAGTCCATTTTACAAATTCTATCTTGTCTCCATTCATAAGTTTATTGAGTACCACATCTGAAAAATCAATCACATATAACAGTGAGTGGAAGGTATCATCTATTTCCCTCTTGCAACCAAATCCTGACTAGTAGTCCACATGAGTATTAAGGTTATGAATAATTAGTTAAATATTCACCTTGATTTTGAAGAGCTGCAAATGGGTTGCCACCCAACTGTTCTTGGGCTGCATTCATCATAGGTTCCTGAACATCTCTGTACATTCTCTGTAGGGCATTGAAGCCACCAGGGAAACTCTGAAACAACAGTAAGACATCATACACTTTATATTAAAACAATTCAAACAACACAGTTAGACATCATACACCAATTCAAACAACAAAGTTAGACATCATACACCAATTCAAACAACAAAGTTACACATCATACACTTTATATTCAAACAACACAGTTAGATCACATATGCTTATGCTTGTTTTATCTTTGAAGTGACTTAAATGTTGCTCAATGTGAACAACACTAAAACAACATTGATAGTCACTGATCAGAATTAGATATTCTGTTTCATTGAATATTCACAAAAGTACATCTGAGTAATGTCTCATTCCCAACTTACCTCCAGATTGCTCATAGCTCTATCTTGACTGCGCATTAGCTCCTGCATCATGGACGGGTTGCGTGCTAGTTCCATTGTCTGAAATCATATGGTAAAAAGTAAGTTTTTTATGTTATGAATTATTTACTTCAAAGAAAAAACATAAATAGCAAACACTCAGTAGTAATAAATATTTACCCTTATTTGTATAGTGTGTACTTAAATAATTCTTTCTTAAAATCTAAAATGTGTAAAGTATGAACTTGAACTCATTTTTTCAATCGTCCATATGTCCATTATTCATGTTATTGGACATAAAAATGTTTGGTTTGATAGACAAGATTTCAATTAGTTTAGTTAGTTTTAGTCATAATATCATATTCAACTGTACTAACCTGCCTCATGAGCTCTGGGTTGTTAAGCATATGTGTAATCTCCGGGTTGCGCTACAAACACAAATATAACTAGATTTGTGAAATTGAACAAGTTCAATTTAAGACTCCAGATTTATTTGACCTAGATAGATCAGTAAAGAGCTGAGTAAGTAACTGAGTAATTAGCTGAGTAAGTACCTTAGTAGTAGTTGAGTAAGTAGCTGAGTAAGTAACTGAGTAAAAAGCTGAGTAGGTAGCTGAGTAAGTAGCTGAGTAAGTACCTGAGTTAGTAGCTGAGTAAGTTGCTAAGGAAGTAATAACTAATTAAGTAATTGAGTAAGTAGTCAAATAAGTAGCTGAGTAGGTAGAGAGGTAAAGTAGGGTATGCAGGAATTTTTGAAAGTATAATTGATCAATCTGCATCGTGAATACTGGCAAGTGCGAATTTCAAACTTCAGATCCAGATTCCTGAGGAATTTCTACCCCTAATTCATAACTCATACTTTAGAATTGGAGAACTTTTTATTTTGACCTACATTTCGGACACCATATCTCAAAAGTGGGTCAAAAAACTTGAGAAAATTCTACCTTTAATTCATAACTCGTTAAATTTGGAAAACTTTTAACTTTGGCCTACTTTTCGGACACCATATCTCAAAAGTGGGTCAAAATACTTTCTGACGGCAAAACGCTAACACTATTAGCATACTCTTTGCTACCTGTATACAAAATTTTAAAGCAAATCATTTAAATATAGTGTCAGAATCGCAAAAATAAGGGAAAACTATAAATTTGACCTAGATTTTGACCTAGGCATTTTGGTGTCCAAATTTTGGAGCTAAGTAGCCTTCGAGGTCCCCTTCTTTAATAGGCTTTTATTATATTAAGCTGTACTCAGTCTATATCTCGTATTTTACACTTCAAAAAAATCTTTTTTCCCATTGAAATAACATGGGGCAGCAAATTTAGCGATTTTTGAGCTTTCAAAACACCATAACTTCCTAACATGAGGTCGAATCAAAATTTGATTTGCAGATTCGGATTCCTGATAAAATTCTACCCCTTATTCATAACTCATACGTTACATTTGAAGATTTTTTTATTTTGACCTACTTTTGGGACACCATATCCCAAAAGTGGGTCAAAATACTTTTTGACGGCAAAAGGCTAACACTATTAGCACACTCTTGGCTACATGTATACACAATTTCGAAGAATATAATTAAAGTGTAGTGTCAGAATCGCAAAAATAAGGAAAAGCTTTGAATTTGACCTAGATTTTGACCTAGGCATTTTGTTGTCCAAATTTTCAAGATTAGAAGGTTTTGAGGTCCCCTTCTTTTATGGGCTTCCATTATGTTTAGGTGTACTTAGTCTATATCTCGTATTTTACACTTCAAAAAAAAAAATTTTCCCATTGACATAACATGGGCACCAAATTTAGCGATTTTTGAGCTTTCAAAACGCCATAACTTCCGAACCGGAAGTCGGATCGAAATTTGGTTTGCAGATTTGGATTCCAGAGAAAATTCTATCCTTAATTCATAGCTCATACGTTAAATTTGGAATTTTTTTATTTTGACCTACTTTTCGGACACGCCATAACTTCCAAACTGGAAGTCGGATCGAAATTTGGTTTGCAGATTCGGATTCCTGAGAAAATTGTATACTTAATTCATAACTCAAACGTCAAATTTTGAGAATTTTTTATTTTGACCTACTTTTCGGACACCATATCTCAAAAATGGGGCAAAATACTTTCTGACGGCAAAAGGCTAACACTATTAGCAGACTCTTAGCTACATGTATACAAAATTTCGAAGAATATAATTAATCTGTTGTGTCAGAATCGCAAAAATAAGGAAAAACTTTGAATTTGACCTAGATTTTGACCTAGGCATTTTGGTGTCCAAATTTTGAAGCTAGATGGCTTATGAGGTCCCCTTCTTTTAAAAGCTTTCATTATATTTAGCTGAACTCAGTCTATATTTCGTATTTTTCACTTCAAAAAAATCTTTTTTCCCATTGACTTAACATGGGGCACCAAATTTAGCGATTTTTGAGCTTTCAAAACGCCATAACTTCCGAACGGGAAGTCGGATCAAAATTTGGTTTGCAGATTCGGATTCCTGAGAAAATTCTACCCTTATTTCATAGCTCATATGATAAATTTGGAGAACTTTTTGGTTTTGACCTACTTTCAGGACGCCATATCTCAAAATCGCTAAGAGTAATCAAAAAACGGATGGCACACTCTCGATTTGTTTTTTTCTAAGCTACATGTAGAAACTAAGATGAAGTAGTTACGACAAACAACAACGAAGATAATTGACAGAATGTTGATTTGACCTTGATTTGACCTAGTTCTTGACCCTTGACCTAGATAAAAATTTGACCTAATTTCCCATCATCCCAGGTACTGCCCCTAGTTGATCATGTAAGCAGCTTAAAGTAAATTCTTTTAGTTGGTGAGAAATCTGGGAAGGAGGAAGATTCTGAAAGAATAATAACTAGACATGTAAATTGAACAAGTTCAATTTAAGACTCCAGATTTCAGACTTTTTTTAAGCTGAGTCATCCAAATACTTGTAAGCTGAGTCATTCAGAATAAGCTGAGTCAGCTAGAATATAGACATTTAGACAACTCTTAAGATTGTTATCTTCGACTCCATTGGCTTAACATGGGGATATCATCATATCGACTTTTCGAGACTTCAAACCGCTATAACTATCTAATTAGAAGTTGGATCGAAATTTGGTTTAAAGATTCTGATTCCTGAGAAAATTCTACCCTTAATTCATAACTCAGACGTTAAATTTGGAGAACTTTTAATTTTGACCTACTTTTCAGACACCATATCTCAAAAGTGGGTCAAAATACTTTCTGACGGCAGAAGGCTAACACTATAAGCACACTCTTTGCTACCTGTATACAAAATTTCGAAGCAAATCATTAAAGTGTAGTGTCAGAATTGCAAAAATAAGGAAAAACTATGAATTTGACCTAGATTTTGACCTAGGCATTTTGGTGTCCAAATTTTAAAGCTAGATAGCCTTCGAGGTCCCCTTCTTTTATAGGCTTTCAGAATGTTGAGCTGTACTCAGTTTATATCTGGTATTTTACACTTCAAAAAAATCTTTTTTCTCATTGACATAACATGGGGCACCAAATTTAGCGATTTTTGAGCTTTCAAAACGCCATAACTTCCGAACCGAAAGTCGGATTGAAATTTGGTTTGCATATTCGGATTCCTGGGAAAATTTTATCTTAATTCATAGCTCATATGTTAAATTTGGAGAACTTTTTATTTTGACCTACTTTTCAGACACCATATCTCAAAAGTGGGTCAAAATACTTTCTGACGGCAAAAGGCTAACACTACTAGCACACTCTTTGCTACCTTTATACAAAATTTTGAAGTAAATTATTAAAGTGTAGTGTCAGAATCGTAAAAATAAGGAAAAACTATGAATTTGACCTAGATTTTGACCTAGGCATTTTGGTGTCCAAATTTTGAAGCTATGTAGCTTTTGAGGTCCCCTTCTTTTATAAGCATTCATTATGTTAAGCTGTACTCAGTCTATATCTTGTATTTTACACTTCGAAAAAGTCTTTTTTCCCATTGACTTAACATAGGCACCAAATTTAGCGATTTTTGAGCTTTTAAAACGCCATAACTTCCGAACCGGAAGTCCGATCTAAATTTGGTTTGCAGATTCGGATTTTTGAGATCATTCTACACTTATTTCATAACTCATATGTTGAATTTGGAGAACTTTTTGTTCTGACCTACTTTCCGGACACCATATCTCAAAATCGGTAAGAGTAATCAAAATTCTGATGTCATATCTTTGATTCGCCTTTTTCTAAGCTAGACAATGAAAAAAGATGAAGGAGTTACGAAGAATATTGACGAAGATATGATGAAGAATGTTGAAAATGTAAGATTTGACCTAGTTCTTGACCTTTGACCTAGATAAAAATTTGACCTAATTTCCCAGAAAGCCAAATACAGTCTTCAGTTAACCATGTAAGTTGGATTAAGTAAGATGTTATAGTTGGAGAGAAAATCTGTTAGGAGGAAGAAAAAGAAGAATAATAAAAATAACTAGACATGTAAATTGAACAAGTTCAATTTAAGACTCCAGATTTCAAACTTTTTTTAAGGTGAGTCATCCGAAAAACTGTAAGCTGAGTCATGCAGAATAAGCTGAGTCAGCTAGAATATAGACATTTAGACGATGTTATCTTCGACTCCATTGGCTTAACATGGGGATATCATCATATCGACTTTTCGAGACTTCAAACCGCTATAACTTTCTAATCAGAAGTTGGATCGAAATTTGGTTTAAAGATTCTGATTCCTGAGAAAATTCTACCCTTAATTCATAACTCATGCGTTAAATTTGGAGAACTTTTTATTTTGACCTACTTTTCAGACACCATATCTCAAAAGTGGGTCAAAATACTTTCAGACGGCAGAAGGCTAACACTATAAGCCCACTCTTTGCTACCTGTATACAAAACTTCGAAGCAAATCATTAAAGTGTAACGTCAGAATCGCAAAAATAAGGAAAAACTACGAATTTGACCTAGATTTTGACCTAGGCATTTTGGTGTCCAAATTTTAAAGCTAGATAGCCTTCGAGGTCTCCTTCTTTTATAGGCTTTCAGAATGTTAAGCTGTACTCAGTTTATATCTGGTATTTTACACTTCAAAAAAATATTTTTTCTCATTGACATAACATAGGGCACCAAATTTAGCGATTTTTGAGCTTTCAAAACGCCATAACTTCCGAACCGAAAGTCGGATTGAAATTTGGTTTACACATTCGGATTCCTGGGAAAATTCTACCCTTAATTCATGGCTCACATGTTAAATTTGGAGAACTTTTTATTTTGACCTACTTTTCGGACACCATATCTCAAAAGTGGGTCAAAATACTTTCTGACGGCAAAAGGCTAACACTATTAGCACACTCTTTGCTACCTGTATACAAAATTTTGAAGTAAATTATTAAAGTGTAGTGTCAGAATCGCAAAAATAAGGAAAAACTATGAATTTGACCTA